ATATCTCTTGTAATTCATATTAAAATATAAACAATCAAAAGCATAAGGTGGAATATGACATTAGAAATAAGTCAGAAGTAATTCCAAAATAAAAGTTCAGTTAACACAAGCGAAAAAATATACCCGCAGTGGTTTTAATGGGGGCAAATTATCTCCACCAGAACTCTATTCAAAATTGGAATCAATCGTTTAGGCTTTAGCCATTGCTAACAGCCAACTCTCGACTTCATTTAAGGATAACTTTTTTCTTATCTGGTCTTTTGTTCTAAATAAAAATGAGATTCAATCCCTTTGCTCTTCAGGATTACGAAATATCATTTGTGTTCTAGAAAATTGCCCCCATCTGGAGATGAATATAGAACTGCAACAACTCCAAATCAAACTTTACCTCTTTCCCTTTTGGAGTTCGAGATTCGTCGGCTTTCTTCATGGCTTCTCCTGAATAAATCTCGAGAAATCACATCGACTGTCGCCGCGAGCTCCACATCACCTGATCGCTGCAGTTCCTCAGCCTGGCCAACACAGTTTCTATTCCGACCACGACTGCATCTCCGACGTCGTAATCGGTGTCCTAGACAATGAGAGTTTACCTCTGATCTGAATATCGATCTCGTCCCCCCGCGTTGTAAGGGTAGGAGATCGGCATGGGGTTGGCCCTGAGAATTGCAACTGGAAAATCATCAATGCCCGAATTTTGGGCTGGGGTCTTCTTTGAGGAGATCGGATAGCAGCGTGAAAAAGTGGAGATGTGTGTAATTTTGTTGACCGAGATATCTACTTTGTGAGGTTACTCTGCTGAGGTGATTGTTGCGTGTGATGCCAAGAGAAAGATGAAAGAAAGTAAAATAATTATGCACATTTTCTGCGGATCTCACTAAGATATGGCGTACATCATCTGTTCCAGTAGATATCCCGGTGCTTCCCAATACCACTATACGTAAAGTAAAGGGGCAGGTAGATAAGTAAAATAATTGCCCAAGCAAGGGCTTTTTGGTAACAAAAAGACAAGTGTCAACACCATATTAACCCAACATTGTTGGGTTATATGTATTGTAGAGATGTTTATTGAAAATTGAAATGTTGTGGATGACTATCATCCATTAGTCAGCTTTCCAAAGAACTAAAATAAAAGTGGAATGTAGATAGTCTATCCATATTTATTTATAATTGAATCTGCTATTATATAAATTATTGTGTATTTGTATGCGCATGAAACTAAACATAATATTTT